TATTTAATACTCGCAAACGATGTAACGAATTAAAGCTCGTTTTCTATTACGTTACCACGTTTATGGGCAACCGGAAAGGGAACGACCGCTCTGGTAAATGTTTGTCTAAAGTTTAATTCAGTAAACGTAACTCTAATAGGAAACCAGAGGATGCATTTTCATCTCGCGAACTAGCGTTCTGAAATTTCTGTTTGACTTGACGTAGTAATCGTATGTCGTAATACAGTTTGCGTCGAATAACTAATAAATACAACTATTTGGAGATAGTTTTATAACTGCAGTTTTTTCACATGAAAAATAATTAAAATTTCTCCATTATAAAAAGAAATTCTCATTATAAACATACTTGAACACGATTAGGCTTATAATTGTCATGAAATGAATTCACAGAAACCGCGTTAAAAATGAGCATTCAGATAAGGATGTTTCCTTACAAATAGAGCGACGATAATCCTGATTAAGTTTTCACGAAACTTAAATTACGTTTGCGATTAAGTCTGATCGAAGGAGCGACTAAATAATTCCATTACTCATTGCCAGTTGACGAACGTCCCGAAGGGTTGGTCCTGCTCGACATCCGGCCGAAGCTATTTCAAACTTTTAATCAGTTTACACGATTTCGTGGGAATTGAAGTTTCCGTTTGCCCATGGCTGTAAAACGCTAATTAAGCCGTTTCACTGGCAACGATGCATTGTGAACGCGGCCGAGTGTCGCCGCAATCGCGGAATTTAAACGGTGCCGGTTTAATTAGGGTTACACAGTTTTGCCGTTGAAATTAGCACGGCTCCGAACAAAGGGCTCGCGACCCGACACGTCGAGGCCTCGTTATTAAAATTACCACACTTTCTAATATTAACGAGAAAGTTACCTTTTTCTCTACGATGTCGCGACTTACCAGCAATGAGTGTTGAGTACGCAAAACAAAAAAAAAGAAAATTGTGTTTGAAAATCTGTGTTGTTTCAGAGACCAGTTTATTTGGTAAACGTTGCGATTTTGAACCTTCTAAATAATTAAGCTGATATGAAAATAAATGAACTATTTTTTGATTTATTTTATATTATGCAAAGCAATCGGCACGACACCGGTCCAATTGCAAAATAATTATTTTTGACAATTAATTCTTCATTATTTTGGTCTATCATTAATGATAAAAGAGAGGATAATTTTCTTTTTCGTTACAAGAATTGCTACATTGTCTCTCGTTCGTGTCGTTTGATTTTCCTCGAGCAAAAGCGCGATTTAGAGCTACCAGTATTTACCTATAGTACTTGACTAGGATTTTACAAGCGTCAGACAGCAAAACGTGGAACACGAGAGCCAGATTCACTCTTAATTACACTTCTTGCACGAACGAGCCGTGTACCACCACCAGAGTAACATAATTTGACTGTTGTCTGCCCTTTGTTAGAGACATTGCAGTTAGAAACGTGATGCTCTACACACTTTTGCGTGATAATTCTAGCTAAAACACATTCGCCACTGTTACTTTGCAGTGATTTCTGCGAGCTGCATTCGAATTCTCTTTGTACACGTTCCTCGTTAGTGGAACTTCACTTTTAGTCTATTACTGAGAAAGTTGTATAGAAAGATGATTAATTTCTTAGTTGTGAAATGGCAAAGCGAATGAAGATATCTGTTAGGTCACCTCATAAATAAGATTGTCAATCATCGTGAATAAAGTATATTCAGATGTGAAATATTAAATTAACTAAAAATTTTCTAACTTTTTTCGACTTTGAATCGACTTATATAAAATAATTGCTTTTAATATTAATAACATCAAACAGATATTAGAAATACTAAAAATAAAAGAGAAAAAATATGTTACTTATAAAATTTTCAAGATATTCTTCTTATTACTACCTGAACTTATTATTAATAACATCAAATAAAAGTTGGGATACTTTCTTAAGTTCGTATGAATCTTAACTTCTCTTTACGATCCTATGGGAAAAAAGAATTTCCCTTTTCATTTAACCAGAATTCATTTTTCGAGAGGAAAGATTAAATTTAGAGGAAATTTAGATTACCTTTCTTCAAAGTTTCCCTTGGATTTTTAAATTTTACCTTCTAGACTGCACTTTCAAGTACTCCGCGATGATTATGCAAAGTTTCACGCTGTAGACCCGAGTCTTTGGTTAAACAGAAAACTTTGGCGAAAGTAGAAAAACTCTTTCCGTATATACAGTTCTCAGTAAAATATGAAGAAGCATCTCGTACATATATAACAGTTTAAAAGGGTGCATTAACTTCGAAGGGAAGGAAAAGAGATTTCAATTAAAAAATATAAACTTCTTCGCCGGTTGTTTGAACGTAAACGAAAATTCATTTTTCGCGTTGAAAATTTATTTTCTCCTCGGTTTACACTCACGTATGTTACTTTAATATTTTCAGAGTGCAACTTCAGGCTTTTTCGCGTACTTCCGCGCTTTCTCTCGGGGAAGTGTAACTAAACTATGGAAATTCTGTTACGCAAGCTACTTCGTGTTTGTTTAGGGAAACTCGGCTCCGTCGTATGTTCTTCCTTTGTATTTTTACTTCTGAATAGATTTCAGAGGTTGCTATCCTAATTTCGTTCCAGCGTATTGTTGGGAACGACTTTAAACTAATGCAATCCTTATCCTGTCTACTTAAATCAGTATTTACTAATTCTTTTATTTGTTATTATTAATTTGATTTTCTTTTCCAAGATAAAAATAGTAGAAGACGTTATAGTAAAAAGGAAATAATAAATTTAGCTCGTGTCTCCTACGAATCACGTCAGTCGTTTCAGTAGCGTGTCTAAATTTATCACGCGCAAACTATAATATTCACGAGCTCCTCTTCGCGAGAGAAATCACCATCTCTCAAAAAACAAACACCGAGAGCTCAATCCTCGGCTGCTCAAAAATGCAAGAAGCATTCGCTTTCACCGTGTGGAACCTGTCGCGATTACTTCGTCTCTCTGCAGCTACTCTCCAGGAAAAACACGTGGAAATCTTGCTTGAAAACTGTTAATACAATTTCCTGTAATTTCCCTGAGATTCATTAGCCGCAATAATTTATTAAGCGATAAAGTAGTTCCAAGAATTTTACGCCCATCGAGATTGTTCAGTACTTGAAAAAATTTTCTATTCTTTCAGACAAGCTTCGCATAATACGAAGTTAAAGATGAGAATTACATTTTCCAGTGAATTTTTGCGCAGTCAGCGTGGAAATTCTTGAGAGTTTGAAATTCGGAAGACAAAGGAAATTGTTCCGACTCTCGTTCTTTCGCGATGAAGCGTGGCAAATTTCCTCCTCGCAAATTTCGGAGGATTGTTATGAAAATGAAATGCAAACCGAGACAACCACCGACTACGAGATCGCATTTTTCTTGCTGAGAAAGAAACAATGTTTCGAACAATTGTATGAATTTCTAACATCGTTCTTGTGAATATTGTATATCAATTTATAAACAAATATATAAATGAAAAGTACCATGTGTGTCATCCACAAATACTGCAATTTATTTCATGGAGATTGAAATGCAAATTAAAGATGCAGTTGATTAACTTTGCCATCAATATGTATTTTATTATTATTGATATTGCTATTATTCCTTGCTATGAAAATAAAATTTAAATAAGAATATGAAACATTACGCACATTCAGAAGAATTCAATAATATTTTATATATTTTATTACGTGATGAAATTTGGGATGAATAAACTCCTTTTTAAATTTGCCACTCACATTCATTTAATATTTGCATTTCAAATATCTGTTTTAAAAATTAATATCTCTAAAACCACACGTCTTTTTTCTGAATTTTAAGTGAAAAACTGAAGCGTGTAAACACTTTTCTGAACTCGTTTACAGAATATTTGAATTTCAAAGGATTCTGAATGCGACTGATGATTTATCGCTTGAGCGTTTTAACTCCATGAAATATCTTTTCAATATTTTGTATGAACGATTCAGAAGAATAAGCAAAATAAATGAATCTACCCTGACGTTGTGAGAAAATTTTCGAATATTTCTTATTTTTATTCGAACCTTTATTCGAAGCCGCGACAATGCGGGAAACGCGGAATCCGAGGACCGATTATGCCGGGCTCGATGAAAATCCGTCTTTCTCGACGGAGAAATGCAAGGGCGAACGGTAAACCGAGGGCATTTGTGATGGACCAACAGATTCCAGAGTCGAAACGACACGGTGGGTCTGAAACGTGCAGCCGTCACGTCGCTCGTGTTCCACTGTCGAACGATTCAACACGAAACGCTTCAGAACAGGAGCGTGCTTCGTCGTGACGTCAATGCACGCTCCCATACACCCTTGTTATCACATTACAGGTGGGTAATTTCGAGGGATGGACAACGACCGTCTCGTTTCCCCCTCGCGAATCAACCGCGAAATTCATCACGAACTATGCGACGATCATTTGAACCCAACCCTTTGAAGATCATTATTAAAAAAATAATTAAGAGTTAATTATCCTATATAATGAGATAAATTTTTTTTTTTTTCGATTAATTTAATTTAGAATTGTTTAATGAATTTTAACGATGTTCAGAAGTTTCTTTCTACCTTCATTTTTTAATTATTTCAGTGAATGAAATTTGTAACGTTAACGAATTGAAGCACGTAGAGGACTGATAGAATACACAGGGTTGACTATGGTGAGGGTATTTAACGAGCTGCGTCGAGCCAGTGAAAAGTGGTAAACCGAAATGTTCAACCATTAGTGGAGATTATTTTCTAGTGAAACCCGTGAATCGTAGAATCAGTTAATTATGGTTGCATCACTGCACTGCAATGAAATATTTTCAATCATGTTTCAATGAAATATTTTGTTTCATAGTTTCTTAATATTCGAAAGGATTATAATTGAACCGAACAGAATTTAGATTGCAAAAGCATCGAGCAATTTAGTCTTCTGTGAATTATTATCAATTTAACGTTAATTTGTTACTTGCGAAGAACACGGTTTAAAATAATTCCCGAAGACGTATATTGAAGGAATCTCAAGGATTTACCAGCGAACAGATCGAATCTGGTCCTGCTCCTCTCGCTGTCCTCGAATCCTTCAAGGTCGTCCTCATAATCCTCATAATCCTCCACGGGTTCCCTATTCTCTTTTTCGCTGTCATTCCTCGGCAATGCATTACCGGTTGTCCTCTGGGGTGCTTGTCTGACTCTGGCCTGATTATTGCTGCTGAAGAAGACAGCTGGCGGCGGCGGCGTCGACAGCTGAGAGCCCTGAAGACGTCTCTGAAGGTATCTGGCCAGGATCGCTTGAACCGCGTCTGTCTCGGCCCCGCCTGGAAGACAGAAATGATGTTGCTCTGGTAATCCAATATTTTTTTTCTATTTCTTTCTCTTTACCCGTGTTTCGTATCGGTATTTCTCATCTTTCGCGCGCGACCACTTTCGATCCCCAAAAAATACGTATCTTTAGTATCCATGTGTCTTTATATTCTCCTCATTTCTATTTTCTTCTTCATTCATTTCTGGCATTCGAGGAGAATCTCGTCGCTGAAAAATATTTTTTTTTAAATATGGACAGAGTCAGTTATTCGTCCCAATCATCGAAAAATAATTTAATTTTGTGTTTGTACATTTTTAATGTAGAGGAATACAGATGAATATTTCGTTCTTCTAATCTCTTGGATGCATTTATTCATCCCGCTGAGTGGTCTCGTTTTCCTTTTCACGCAGTCCTGTTGAGCACGAGATTTACTTCATCTTCAAGTGTACCAGTTCCACGTGTTTTCGGATATCAGCTATACGCTCGTCGTTTCGACGTATCGTTTCGCTGGGAACAATAATACGTCTTCCTCTCGGTTGAAACGATGAAGCTTATGTAAGCTTTGACGTAAGAAGCTTGCGAGGTTACGCAGGCAGCGACCATTTTCTTGTTAGGGTAGAAGGACGTTAAGTAAACTCTTGAAAGCTCTCGAGAAGCTTTGCAGCTGCACGAAGATCGATCGCAGATCTGTTTGGTGTTCCTTCGAGATTCTCTTCTTCCTTTTACGCTTCGGTTAACCAGCGTTGACCGACATTGATCCAATATGGATTAACCATCATCCAAAGCCATCAGACAATATTTTATCGTAAGTTCATGGTGATGTAGCATAGTCCATAGTTTAAGTTCAGTTCAATTCACAGTTTGTATTTTTATAATATTTTTATAAATAATTTTCATGATATAGCTAAGCCTTGAACGGCGGAATCTGAGAGTCTCTCCATGGTCCGTCATTTGAAGGTTAATCTACAGTGAAGATTAATCTACACCTTCATTAGCTTATCTTCTCTTCAAGATCTCTTTATCATCATTTCTTTATTTTTTTATTCATTAGTCACACATCATGACTAATGAATACAAAGATGTTAATTTTAATGTTAATTAATTTTGATGAAGGAATCTATATTTTAATTCGGTTCCTTATCAGTATGCTTCAAACCACTTTTTACTCTTCCACTGATCAAAGAAAGTTATTTCCTGTCAGTTTCCACAAAAGTTACGTCGCTCTTTTCGTAACTTCGGTAACTGACATGAAGTGGCTTCCCTTGAGAGCAGACTCGGCTTCAGGAAAAAGGAAAGAAGTCAGATGGATTTAGATCTGGCAAAAAACGGTGTTTCGCTAGCCGTATCGCTGAATTTCACTAGAAACTTTACAATGGATACATCGCTTTTTTCTTCAAAACACCAGATAAATAGTGGAACTACAAATAGCATTCGATAGCTAATTAACAAATAGAGTCTCGTAATCTTTGAAACAGTCCCAAAATAATAACTTTGTAAAATTATGAAGAATCAATCTCCATGTCATTCTAGGAAACCCCATGGCATTTACCATTTCTATCATGTTCAGTTACTCCTATTTTTCCATCTGACTCTTCAACTTTTTGAGTTTCAAAAATCCAGTCGTTTTTTCACCAGTCACACCTGATACACTTTGTTATCCTGTCGTTGACGCGTGTTTCTGGTGTTCGGTACAAAAAACCATGAAGCATGGCTCGGGTGTTATAAGACAAAGAGTTAAAAGCGTCAGTAGGATGAAGTGGTGCGGGCCAAGTGTAACCGGGTTTGCTGGTAACAGGTAAATGAAATGCAACGGAGTTCCTCGAGCTGACAGGACACTCCAGTAGAGAGTTCTGGCTAGGCAGGTATGCGTTTGACGTTGAAGGGTGTCCTCGAATCGTCAACGTCACGAATACGCGATGCGTGTAGATTAAAGGATGCACTGGAGCTACTCGATAACGCTTTGAACCGAAACGCTGAAAAACGACACTTGCCTGATGCTGTCGGTCTCTTGTTTATCGCGAATCATTGTGCACGGAAGAGATACGATGATTTGTTTATCCAGCGATTCATTTATTTTCCTCTTGTCTAGTAATATACTAGGCAATGCATTCTAATACTTCGAAGCGTTAATAATTAAAGAAAAAAAAGAAAAGAAAAAAAAATACTGATCGAATTTTGTAATCTCCTCCTTTTTCGAAGTCGGTTAAAAATTTAACGAATGATAATTTTGAAAATATTAATTCAGAGAATTATTAAAGGCTGACCTGCATAGCTAAGTTCGCATGAAAAGCAAAACATCATCGAATCAATGAACTACATATTCACCGAAATTCATATCTCTGGATAACCTAAATTCTCAAGAAACGTCTAACAAACAGTTTCTTGTTAAAATCTTAAATTAGTAAGAATGTATCGTTGAAGTGTTCCCTATGGGTACAATGGAAAAATTCACGTAATGATCGTCGTATCGCTCCCATAACTCGGTTACTATGCAAATCCTAAAGACCTGGATACCGGACGAGTTAATTTTCTTTATAATCTGGGGCTGTCTATTCTGCAGCGTGGGGTGGAAGCTTCTCCACGCCCCATCGAACGTTCCGAGAAGACGATCGATCCTCGAGACGACAAATTCCAGCTCAAAAAGATCCAGCAAGGATCAAGCAAACGCGAGAAACCTACCCTGGTATTCACAGTCTGAGTGAAATCAATTTTTCCCTCGCAATCCGCTCGAGAACGAGTGTAATTGCGCCGATTTTGTCCCGTAAGCTCGTTCGCACGCGTGGCTAACTCGTAATTGAATTTAATTGATTGTATCGCTTCGATTGCACGAAACTCCGGCTCTGATGAATTTTCCTCCGACTAGAATTCGTTACTTTCGTCGTCACGATAAAAAGTAATTAAATCGTGCCACTTGGACATCGAACGATCGTAAAAAATCGATGAATTTCGAAGCCTAGGAACGTAGCTTTTTACGTCGAACCGGTGACGACGGATTAAAAATCATTTCGAATCGTGTAATTATGATACAACCGCGAAAGGGTTATTTTTGAAGAAAGAAATTTTTCCAATCTAATTATAATCATTCTTGCGATTTATTTAATTTTTATTTTATCAGATGAAATGTATCATATCGTAATATAAAAAATTTGAAATTTCATTTATTTTCAGTGCACAAGAATCCCAATTCGGTAGAGAAGAACGATCTAACTCCAATTTCAAAATTATTATACGCCTACCCGAGAAAGTACTGAAAATTGTACTGAAATATATAGAAAAATTACTACTGACGATCTTGATAAATGTTTATAAAAATATTCAGAAATATTGTCATGTTTCTGCCCAAGTAGAGAGCGTAGAAAGGCTAAGAAATTTGCTAAATAAATCATCGAACAACAGAATCAACGTCACGATGAATAATCAATCAAATTACAACGTCCTTAACGAGGAAACACCGAATAAACAATCATCAATCAACGAGAAAACAAGCCCGACGAACAAAATATCGTTCCACGAGTACTTAACCAGGTTTCTCTACAAAGATATCGATCAATCACAAGAAAAATTTAATAACGATGTGACCTCGGAAGAAAACAGCTCCGATGTTGCAGGAAAGCAGCGTGAAAAATACGCGGAGAACGTGTACGAGCGTAAAAACGAAGATGTAACAGGGAACGACAACGATCTACCTTCTCATAAATTTGGATCATGCTCAAAAGCTGCCAGATATAATGTGGATGATAATTCAGCAAGGTCGAACATGAAAATCAATGAAAATGCTGAAAGTCTACTTATTCGTTCTTTGGCAGAAATGTTTCTAGCATCGATTCTACGGGACAGCGAGGTATTCGGACCAGAAAGCAAAGAGATGGAAGAAAATGAAGAAACGAAAGAGAATTCTGATACGTATTTGTTCGATGACGAAAGTCGCTCAGAAATGTTGGCTGATAAGCTCGAGGAACATTTAACGTTCGCAGAGGAAAGTGATAAAATATGCTCGAGAACGGAGGACGATTATCCTGGCGAACAGTCTGGAGTTGTTCCAGAAAAAGAGGTGAACTTGCTGGAAAATGAATCTGTAATGCATTCGAGTAAAGGGGCCACGCAATTTCCAGTCGAAAAGAAAGAAAAGGGTGAAGAGTTTGGATCACCTCCAGATACGAATTCGCTGAAAAATTGTCGCGATTCTGAATCTGCGGGTTTCTCTGATTTGTCGTAAGTTAATTAGCAAGATCAATCAAATATGAGTTGAGATTTTGCCAAACTTTCTTGTATAAATTAGGGAAAAGTGGAGAGGTTTGTAAACAACCATAATAGAGGATTATTCGATCCATTAAGAATTGCTTTGATTAAAGCTTGCAATTTTTTAAATTTTAATATTATAATATTATAATTAAATTGAAAATTAAATTCACCTATTCAAATTAAAGAAATACAAATTAGATCAAACATGATTGAATTGCTTATGATTCAGAATGATCACATACATCGTACAATCACTTACTTTGCATATATCATTTAACGCTTTCTACTCATTGTCAGTCCGTTTGACCAAATCACAAGTTTGCAATGTGTGTGATTTCTTCGAAAGAAAAAGGAGAACGAAACGTTGAGATGTCACTGACGACTGCTATTAAATTTCTAAAAAGTCCACACTTTCACTTGTCATACGTATCATTATACGGCAAACAGTTTTTATAATGAAAGTCCAAATTTGCTATAGGCCGGTCACTGATCACGGTAAGGAGGAAGAAGACTTGAATGCTCTTGTTCGACGCATGATTATCGTCGAATTGAAAAAGCATCGTAAGAAAGAGGAAATTGTACTTAAAAGGGCTCATTCGGATACAGAAACCGTGATACCTAGAAAGAAACAAAACTCCAAAAGCAGGTACCGTGTATGATCCTCAGATTTCACAAAAAGTCAACAATATCCTGGACGTTTTAAAATTCGAAAAGTTTATTTAGTAATATTTATCAAGTTTGCCTTAAGTAAACACACACAATTGTTTTAGAACAGGTCTGTTCAGCCTCAAAGGCCGCACGTTTTTCCGAGATTTATTGGAACTGGAAGAAAGTCTCCGTAGAAACAGTGATAACGAATCGAGCGAGTCGGTTAAAGTCGAAATGAATGAAGGTATGACTAAAGCAGAAGAGTCAATAAATCAAGGTGAAAATCATTCGAAGAACGATGTTTCTGTGGTCACCGATTGCGCAAATGTTTCTGAGAATTCTACGGACGCGATGTGCAAAACCAATTCGAGTATTATGTTAATGAGGAAAATCCATGTTCCTTGTTTGAAGAGCACCGAAAACGAAAACGAACAATCGATAGAATTTGAAACGTAAATATGTTGTCAGAAATATGCTTATTTCACAGTAGATCATTTTTAACCGTGAAAATTTGCAATAAGAGGCTATTAACCCTTGAACAGCGTAGGGGCTCTCTCCATGGTCCGCCGCGCCGTTCGAGAGTTAATAAGAATTTTCTAATCAGACGAATTTTTCATTTGAAAATTCCTGTCATTTTAGAATTTTTGGGGCACCTAAAGAGGAACTGAAGAGTAAATGTACGCAGACAGAAGGTGCATACATGGTTCGCGCAGTGAGGAGTTGTCCTCTTCGAAAGAGACGTGTCTCGTTGCAGTTGCAACAACTGCATCGTTTAACGGACCGCGAACCATATTACTCGACGATCGTTTATGCGAATAAGGATTTCTCGAGATTCATTTACAGAAAAGCTTCTGATAATCTTATATACGAAAAAGGTAAAGGAAGTCGCAGTCCTAGCTATATACCTGCTCCAGAAAGATTTCGATGGAAATACCTAATACCTAACAAAGTCAAATAAACAAATTAACTGAGAATACAACATTTCTATTGAATATTGCATTCTTTCTAGTAAAACTACTACATTGTAAAATTTATTTAATGAAAAAAAATAATGTAAAAATATTTTTCCATTAAATCAAATAATAAACGCTGAAAATTGTCTATTTAATATAAGAGGAAATTTGATTTTTTTTGTTATTCAATCAATTCAAGTTTTATATTGAATTTTGGAAAAAATAAAATTCATTTATTTTTGTAACGTTTCGACCAGTAATTGTTTTTTTTTTTTTAGAATTTTTTTGATTTTCATTGCATATTATTAAAAGTTATTTATTTAATAGTATAATTTAACTAAAAATACTCAGTGTAGAAACTTAACAATTTCGCAATATTTTGCTTGCGGAATTATAACAATGTTATTTTTATATTTGACTATTAAAATATTCAATGATATTATATTGTTATATTTCAATAAATTTATCTTGGACATTTGTTAAGTGGTTATCTAGTATGATACATGAAACCTGCCTCTCGCATAATGCTTATCCTCTGTTTACAATTACTTAAGCCACTCGTCACGTACGGTGACCAAGGTATACTACTTTTAAGAGTTTACACTAGCTGTTGCCTCTGTTTATTCGTAAAATTTTTGTTTCTTCTTTTAAAGTGAAATCGTTCGAAAGCTCGTTTTCAAATAAGTGGTGTCTATTATGTATACCGCGTTTAAATTGTATTTGAACAATTTGTTTGACAAAAATTCCGCTAATCTCCTCGAAGCATACTTTCTCATTTCAAATAAAAAGAGTGTCAAACAATAAATCTACAACTTTCACTAGAAAATTGAATTAATAATTAAAAATCACAAAGGTTTTAAATTCCAATTTTGAACTTGGCAAACTAATTTCTTTCACTTCAAATTTTTCTATTTGTTAAATCGCATATTTAAACAAAAATTGAATTAAATATTTTAGATCCATGAAAAATATTTTAAATTTTTATTTCTATATCCTTACATTAAAATAATTTTAATCTGTCATTTATTAATATTTTATTTTATAATTATATAAAGTATGCAAATATCTATTTTATACTTTAATGAAATTCATAATTGTAACACAATTAATTGCCAAGGTAATATTTCTATGGTTGCTGATCGATCAGACGTGTTTGAAGAGTTATGGTTAAACATATTTCACTGTATTTAAACAATATACCGTTCTAAATCAATTAAATCCTATCATTCAATTAGTTTCTCCATAAATCCCGTTTCATATTCACCGCTCGACGTTATCGAGTGTCCCAGGTTCATCTGCATAAATTAAACCAGTCTGAATTACAGCATCCAACGAAAAAGGTCGCCTCCTCAACGTCGACACGCGATCGGAGATGTAACGTTGGATTTAATGCAACGATCGTTCCATTAATGTCCACCCATTAGAAACTAGTCCCGATTCTACAGTCCAGCTATACCAACCATTCGTGAAACTAACGAGACTCGAGTTTAATTAGCGCAGAATTTAAACGAGGCACGCCAAAGCAAACGACTGAATGCTCGAAAGCGTAGTAGAAAGAAATAAGGATCATTTAAAGATCAGCTTGACAACTTGTTTTCTATTTATATGCTTTTGCTCTGGTGTAATGTTAGCTTAGAAGCGAAATAATTAGATGGGAGAGTTATTAAAATTTTGGTATACTAAATTTCTGAGATCCTAAGATTGTGGATTTCTAAAATTTTGGAATCCTATATTTTTGAGATCCTAGGATTGTACATTTTTTAAATTTTGGAATTTCAGAATTCTAAAATTTTAGAACTCGATCAAAATTTTAGAATTTCACAATTTCTGAAATTTGAGATTCTGAATATGGAAATCCTAAAATTCGAAAATTCTAAATTAATGGTATTCTGTATTAAATATCTAAGTATTCAATATTTCTTCAATTTTGACATAGTATAAAATTCCACGTACACGTGTTTAATTTTCCTTTTTACTATACCTATTCAAGAAATTTAATTACAATAACTAAAGTGAAGTCTTACCGAGAAAATAACGATTTCGTGACCGCGAACGCTATTCCAGGCTGCTTTTCTTACCCCTGTACCCCTGGAAAAGGCCAAAAAATCCGGAAGGTGGGATGTAAGGGATGAAAAAGGCGGGAAGGATAAGGAGGTAAAAAGGGGACTCTCATTCAAAGGCAAATTACCGTCAGCTCCATTTCCATTTTACATACAATGCACAATGAACCGCGCCGGAAATAAGAACGGTCTTTCCTCCATTCATGCGTATGTACCCGTACCTTTCCTTCTTCTTCGTCCCCCTTAACTTTTCCTTTTTTCTCCCCCTTTGCGATCAGAAGCACTTACTGGTTTGCAAGAAGAGAATCAGGTTTCCTTGATAATAGAGACAATTGTCTTGCACTTTGCGCTTTCCAGGATCCTCTACGGAAGTCCATTTTGCGAATGCACCTTCGGGCACAAGCTAGCAGGAACTTGAACCCTTTTGTGCGATTCTTACTGCTTTCCCCAGGAAATTAATAAGAAAGAAGGATAGTGAACAAAGGGTGAATTGAAAGTGGAATTGTAAAGGATTTTACTTGGGCTTGATTAGTATTGTATAAATTAATCTTTGCTTTGTTCAAATTATTCTGAGAATTATACAAACACTTTTCTAATTCATTAATTATCCTGAATTTAATTTAGTATAGTCAATCCAACAAATTTTCATTGGAATTTTAATTATTTTAAAGGCAATTAATTTAAAAACAAACGAATCTTCTTCCTCGATGAAAGATAGAATACAATTATTTTTCTCTGAACATGGCAAAAGAAAATACACGACGACAGCGAAAAATTCTTTGCCTGTTGACCAACCATGAACGATGTCTTCGCAAGTCGTAAGCTCTGTTGGCAGCTTTCCGATCTGAAATTGCCTGACAGTTTCTCCATTTTCCATCTTCCCCGGGAAAAAAGGATGCCAAATAAATACGAGACGAAAGGTCCCTTTTACGCATCCGAAAAACAAAGCAAGAACCTCCCATCGAGATCTAATCGTTGCTAATACGTATTCTGCCAAAAATTCCGTTCCCCAGGCTGGATCATTCTTTCAGTTAATCGTCGAACGCCCTTGGCAAACTTCCGATCTTCGTTTCTCTACAGATTCCTATTCTTTTTCGTCAGGAAAAAAGGGAGGAAAGCAGTAACAGCTTTCTTTCCATCTTCGTCTTCGTCCATTGTTTTTCAGACTCCGATCCTACGGAAACGTTTTCATCCCCTTTTATATAAAGAGTTTCTTTTTCTTAGCTTTTGTTCCTTCTTTCTAATAAGAGGAGCAAGGGCAAACATGTATGTCAGGGCCAAATACGAAACTTATGATAGAGATAAAAATTTTGCTATTTTTAAAAAACTATCCTTTTTAATAATTTGTTTTGTAGAGGATGTAGGTGAATTGTACTGAAATTTTCTGTGATTCTGACTTCTTCGATTTGATATAGGATGCTTTGGATCATATTAACCAGCAAAATGATGACTTTTTGAATGTCATTTTGAAAATTTTAAAAGATCACCAAATGTTTATTATATCCTTATTTAAAAAAAAAAGAACAGGTCTGCTTGAATGTATAATTTATCTCGTAAAAGAGTACCCATCATATTTTCATGAAAATTTATCTCTCCTATAAAATGTTATACATGGATAAAAAGTACATGTAAAACATTACAATGCACTTGCATAATGGTGATTAATAAAATTTTCTCCTGTGTCCAGTATGTCTCGACAACGTTTCGACATATTTTCCACTAATTTTTCGGGACAGGTTACAATTACCTACCTCCAAATACGTTGGATTACGTTTCTAACTTTAAAATACATTTTCCTCGATATTTTTGTTTTATTTCACAACGATGGTATCTTTTTTCAACTTTGTAAGCAGTAAAATTATAGCTGTTCCCCTCGTTTCAAAGGAAAATAATTAGAGGAAAATAATTAAAAACGTCACCCCTTTACGTAAAAACAACAGGGCAAATGCAATAATCAATAAGAAACAATATATATTTGCCAGTTTATCGGTAAAGTTTTTAGATCGAAGAAGAAATGCTTGTTCGCATGAATAATCTGAAAAATTCCAGTAGAACGCAATCTCGCTGCATTTCTTATCCACGAAACTTTGTTTCGATTCTCTTGTTTCCCTCGAATCTTCTTCTTTCATTTTTCTGCCATTTTATTCCACGCGTCTCTCTTCCTCCGTCATTTCACCCTATTGTTCGGCCTCCTCTTCTAGTCCCGCGGTCTCGCGAAAGATAGGAAACACATGTCTCTCCCTCTTCTATAATGAAATTCGACTTCCTTTCAAACTCACCCCCTTCGTCTACCACCGTCTCGTTTTCAGGGCACAAGGAGACTGGGCAAATAGCTTGAGCCCCGACAAAGCCACCTCCCAGTACCGTAGCGATACCGTCTCGTTGTTAGATCAACGTCGGCGAAGAAATTGTTACCGGCAATAAGAAAATCACGAGAACGTCTGCTGCCGTTGACTTTGCGACTCGCTCTCTCAAAGCTTTCCTACGGGCTTATTCTCGGAACGCGATTGCCGAATTTTTAATTCTTTCCTTGGAAAATTTGTTTCGTTATATTTGATACTTTGCCTAGCTGATGTAATTATTGCTGATTTGAGATCAATTATCATTAATTTTTATTTGATTTATTTCTCACAAAATCTGAATTTTGGTTATAAATATTATTATCGTTATTTTTTTTCTGTATTCTTCAAACCACTTTTGTTTTTTTAAATAAATATCATAAAAGCTATATTTTCTACTGGTTTTTATAAATTTAAGAATCATTCGGAAAAAAGTAACACGTACAGTAACAAATTACTAAAGAAAGAGCCAAAAAAGAGTAAGAAGCTATCGTGAATTTATTATCCTTCGAAGGGGTTTGTCATTCGGGATAAAGGGCTCAATTAAATCTAACTCGAGACCGAAAAGGGGCGGGCGCGACGTTTCAAACTCGACGAAGTCGTGTCGAGAACGATTTTCAGTCAGTTCCTTTTTTTCCCACGACTTGTCGATCTCGTTAGAACCGAGTGGAACTTCGTATAAATACGAGAAAGAGGGCTACAGTCGTTCCGCGACACTTCGAAATCCTAAAAC